GGATCCCATAGAAAATAGCTAAAAATCGCAAAAAGGAACTTGATAAGACAGAGACAAGATAAAACAGACAGAAATAAATATATTTTTTCATCATATTTAGATGAAATATTCAAAAACCGAATTATCGGGCAAGAATAGTTTATATCAAGAGCCATATTATGTTAATATAGAATTTATTTGTTTTGTTTTTTCTCTCTTCGCCGTGACGATCCAGATTCTGGTCACTGAACTCACTGGTTCATAGCTGCGATTTTGCAGTTTTTTTTTTTTTTTGAGAACTTTGACAAGGTAACGATTTTTATTTGATTTGTGTTCTGTTTTCTTTTTTAGAGAAAGAAGGAACAACAAATAAACCAAGAAGAGCAAGGCACTGGTTTATACGACGTTGTGGGAGATGTTTGTCTCGTGCAGACAGCTTTCGGTCATCCATAAGCAGCATACCACAGTACATGGTGGAAGCTCCTACACAAACATATAACTCTATACAAAACGTTACAACGGACGCTAATAGCAATGAAAGCCACGCGCATTCCTCTGTTGTGGACTTATCTAGTTCAGAAGGGCATGTAGAAAGTGATAGTGTTAGTTTAAAAGAACTGAGAACGAATTGTGAAAATTATGCATCAACAAGTTCCATCAAGAGTACATGTGTTAGTGTGCAAGGTTATATGTCACCATACGAAGAGGCGAAGAGTTACACTCATCAAGTTGTTGTAGTGGCTCCAATTACTGGTAAGATTTCAATTTTGTGTGACTACAAACGTTGTATAACGGCACCCGTCCCCAAAGCTTCCTTTTGGGATCATTTGTGCTTCATTTGTCCCTAGCAGCCATTCGCTTCGTTGGTTGGTATGACATGGGACCGATGATTTCTAATTGATCGGGGCCAGGTGCGAGTTGGTGAAGCACTGGAGTCTCAGCGCGAGTAGATTGCCATTTTTGGAAGAGGATCGAAGAGGATGGGTGCTAACAGCTAGCTATTACAAGTGACCCAAGCTTAGTATAAGGATTTTTATGGAAAATGAAATTTAGGGACTTGTCAGAAATTAGCAGGGGGGAGGGGGGTGGAAACCGAGGGAGGGTCACAACTTTTTGAGACTGCAGAAAAGGGGGAGGGTTATGCAAATATGTGTCCGTGATCATGTAGAGGTTCACCCACAGAAGAAAAAAGAAGTTCTTTAGTTTGTGAAAAAAAACCTGGGAGAAATAGGAGAGTCGAGTGATCAGCTGTCAGAATCAGAGTCGGAATCTTAATGCTGTCATCTAAAATGTATGTATATGGCATTACAAAGAACAGATTAGAAATATATTTTGAGCTTTCATAATACTAACTCACCCTAGTGTATTGCAAGAACTAGATTTTATCATTTATACAAGAGGGGGGGGGGGTCATGATATTTTAGACCAAGGTCAAGGGGAGGGTTAGCAAATTTCACTCCCATTGCAGGGATGGGTCACCTCATTTCCGAACCCAAATTTAAAATTCCCACCCCCCCTCCCCCCTGCTAATTTCTGACAAGTCCCTTAGAGTGAACGAATGGACTTAAACATGTAACATTCTTTGAGAAAGTGCAAATAATGTGACCCGGTGTTGTTGCAGTCTGTCTTTCTACGAAGTGTCAAGCAAAATTGCAGCGTTACCCACACAAATTCTTATATGACGCTTAGGCATAACAAACATTAGCTACCATATGGCGGCCCAACGTTCTAGCCTCCTTGGTGTTAAGTGACGATAAAGGATGATTCAGTAGGTTGTTTGGTCAGTGTAAGGCTACTCTTCCATTTTAATCTCCGTCTAAACGACAAATGGTGGAGGAGTTAATTTGTGTCAAAAGGTGGTGGGAGTTTTGATAATAAGTGAAAGAATATTGCGTGCACAACAAAATGATTGTTCTTTATACTAGCATTGTAGTTCCCAGAGCCACTCGTGCGCGCACTTAGGCTTGTTCGCAGTCTGTTCGCACGTTTATTTTTTTGACATTTTTTATATGCCTTTGAGATGCCTAAATTTAATACTTATGTGGCTTTTTGTTATATTTGTCTTTTTACAGCAGACATGCTGGATGTGTCGCAAGAGGACATAGTGTGATCCGCTACTCCTTGGTGAAGCAGTGAATTTAGGAAATTAGGACAAAGAGTTGTCCATGAAAACGAGGCGAAAAGAATTTATAAAAAAACGCTTATTGTAAATAATATACAAAGAATACCTTTGGACTATAAATCTATTTTCGGAGTTCTTTTTTTCTGATCAAGCTTATTTAAAAAATTTACCAACTACAATTTCAAATTGCCCAAAGAAAATAAAGAATATCTTTTGCTGTAACATTTGTTTAGCATTGTGTCTTAGTGTACTCGACTCAAGTGCCTGATGTACTGAAAGGATAAACCTTTGTTCAGAGGTATTATCTGTCAAACGTAGGCAAGTTTTTGTAGTAAATAAGTGCCACAGCGTTCAATTTTTATAAGGGGAATAGCACAATTCTCTTTGATTCATAAAATGTTAAATGGGAAAAAAATTCTACATTTTGCAAAAAATGCCTCTAACCACCGACCGCGTGGCGTGAAATTTTCGCAGAGTTTAATTTTCGCGGATTTTCAAAGATTCACGAAACAAGATCTTGTAAGAGTACTTGCATTACGATTTTTTTCGTCACATTTTTTGCAAAGTAACAAGAGTCTGGGCCTATTAGGCCTTGCTTTAATTTTCCTTGAATCAGTATTTTATTTGAATTCTTTATAATATAGCTCCACCAACTTCAAACCGCGTCTACCGGCAGAATTTCACGGGGAAAAGCCTTAAACAGAATAATATTAACACGTCTGCGTATCATTTGGTGACGTGGTGTAGTAGACTAGGAGATAACCTTGCAAGTAGGTGGTCCGGCCGGGGTTCGACTTATGGCCGAGGAAATTTTATTTTCCTTTTTTGGCCGTTTTGATTTTGTTTGTTTGTTTGTTTGTTTGTTTGTTTCCCTCACCTATTGGCTGGTTTCAGTTTATTCATATTGCTGTTGTTTTCACATTCCAAATGAAAATGCCCAAGAAAAACCGAAAGCGAAATGAAAGTTACCAAGTTGATCAGTGACGGTCACTTAAAACCGAGAAAAGTCTGGGAACAACTTTGCAGAGTGGTTTTCTTCCCATCCTCGGAGACCCAGGGGCAGATAGTGGAGGCGAGGGAAAGTCTAAGAGGGCGGAAAAGTATGGCACGAAGAAAAGTAAAGAACGGTGAGAAGAGCCCCTGGGGACAATGTCTTACCAGACCAATGTCTTACTCTTCTCGCCGTTCTTTACTTTTCTTCGTGCCATACTTTTCCTCCCGTTTAGACATTCTCTCGCCCCCACTATCTGCCCCTGGGTCTCCGAGGATGTTTTCTTCCGGGAGTATTCCAAGAATCGTTCTTTCGTCAGTGTTTAATCTCCGAGCACAGTGTTCGCATTGGAAGCAGAACCACTTACAAGCAACTCTGCTGGGAGAACTACAACTCTTGACACACTTATTGTGGTTTAAGGTGAATGTAGAAATTATTTATTTATCTTTTTAAGTCCTTTTTTCACAAAATGATATTTTGACTGCTGTTCGATGTTGTGGTCATCGAACGTTAGGACGAGATGTATCGTCCAAATCAGGTTATAGAAGTTGCTAAGTGAAAGACAATAACACTTTAGGATCCAAATCGTTATTCTTGTCAGTTTATAACTGCTTTTCGGTCAAAGAAAAAGGGATTTTGAAGCTTTTTCACTTGAAATCTCAGTTGAACTTATTTGATACTCGCGTCAGCTGCATGATCAACTCCCCCTTGTAACATAAGCATAACGTAAGCTCCACCATTAACTCCAGCACTACTGTCACTAATTTTTTGAACATACTTTGTTCGTGTCGCATCCAGTCTATCTAGATTTTTTAGTTCTAAATGCCTGACTTACGTCCGTCCGCTCACTAAAAAAATAAAATAAAATACTCTGTTAAACCCTTTTAACCACGTTCAGTTTTGATCAGGTTACTGAAATATAACACGGTGTCTTG